GAAAGCAGCTGAGCTGGGCCCGGGACATGGAAGGCTGCTTTTAAGCACCGCAGGGTCCGGTGGTGCTGAGGAAGATGCGGAGGCTCAGAGTGGTCCCACAGCTCAGACGAGGTCAGGCCGGGCTGCAGTGCCCACTGGTGAGGCCGGGCCTGGCAGCAAGGGGAACTGGCCCCAAATCCTGGCTCTGCCATTTTTGAGGGTGTGACCCCAACCACATCCTTAACCAATCCGGTCCTTGGTTTCCTCATATGTAAGTGGGGCTGGGGGCGTGACCCTTCAGGGCTCCTCTGGCCTTGACATCCTGGTCTACCTCTGCCCTCTGACCTGTGGGCTGGCCGGCTGTGGGCATGCGCTGTGCTGCCCCACTGCCCACAAGGGCTGCCCCGGGCTGGGCAGGTGCTGGGGGTGGGGAAGGGGCGCCCACGCGCCAGGCCTTGCGCTGGTTTCCGGGCTATGACTAAGGGAGCCATAGCATGTTCTAGAAACTTAAGGTGGCCCTTGAAGGATGAACAGGACGCTCCCAGAAGAGTGGAGGGCAGAGGGCATCCTTTCCTAAAGGAAGGGCGGGTGCAGAGGCTAGGGGAAGCCTGGGGCCGAGCTGATGGGGGTGCGCGTCTGGAGGCCAGGCCAGAGGGCCTTCTTTCTGAGACACTGCCCTCCCCGCGCCCAGAACGTCACCTCCTCACAGCTGTGAGATGCACCCTGGTACCGTGCCACCATCCCCCCCAGCTCCAGGCCCCTCCCCCATCCCCCTGCCCTGCCCACCCTGCAGGTCCCCTACGGCCACTGCTGCCCTTCCTGCGGACTAAAGCTAGTGGGACCTTCCCAGCAGCCACGTGTGATAGCCTCGGGCTCAGCCCTGCCCCATTCTACCTTCTCCTCGGAACCTCCTCGCCTGTCCTGTGGCCACAGGGCCCTTGCACAAGCTGTTTCTGCTGCCGGCTGCACCCTCCACAGGGGAGTCCCTCACTGCTCCCAGACAAGATTGGGCTCTCGTCTCTGCTGCAGCTCGCAGGGCCTGGTGTCTCTTCTGTCCACCCAGAGCGCCATCAGCTTACACCCGCTGCACAGTGCGGGCTTCCCTGGTGCGGGAACAGGACTGCCTGCTCATAATGGCGTTCTGAAGAAGGGACTGTTAGAATTCCCATTTGTTGGAAGAGTAAACTGAGGCTCAGAAGAGTGAAGTAAGCCAGTTGCCCAAGGCTACACAACAGGTGTGTGGCCGAGCCATGTCCTTCCTTGGGAATCCACACGCTCTGTTCCAGACTGGACGCTGGTGGCCGTGCTGGAGGAAGGGGGACCCGGGCTCCACTTGTGGCCCCAGGCCCGGCCTCGCTGCCCCCCCACCGATCTGCCAGAGGCCCCGGAGCTGCTGGCAGCCGCGGAGGCCCGTCCTGACATTCATCAACACTGGCTCCGTGAAGGGTTTAATTAACTTCCTGTTGCAATGGGGGGATAATGAGTTTTAAGCACCACGTGACTCCGTAAGGAGGTCAAACGGCAGCGAGGATGTCAAAATAAATTAAGTTAGGAATCAGGAGGCCGCCTGCGGGAGGGGCAGGGGAGGAGCCCAGACAGCTCTGGCAACAACGAGGTGCAGCCCGGGCCACCCTTGGCGGCTGGGTGGGCGTGGTGGGGGGGGGCCAGGCTGCTGCCTCCGTGGCCCCTCTTGCGGGTCTGGGGGTGGTTCTGGCCATGCACCGGCAGCTGGGGACCCCATCTGATCTCTGGGATTCCTGAGGGACAGAGAGAGCTGGGCTGGGACCACACGGGACCGGCCCTTTCTCCCCCCACCCCCAGGGAGTCCTCTGTGAGGCCAGCATCTCAGGCATCCCGGGACACGACAAGACGGTTGTCGTCTGCAGACGGTCCTTGGGGCTTAGTGAGAGCTACCCTTTCACGCAACTGCCCACGTGTGGCCACTTACCCCGCCAGGCAAGGCCGTGTCGGGTGCAGACAGGAAATATTATCTAGATATTTCCCAATCTCTGGGAGTTGGGGTCATGTGACATCGCCAGATAGGAAATCTTGGTGTCCCCACTGGCCTCCTGCCTTTTTTTCTCCTTCTCTTCCTGCTGCTTCCTGCCTCCCCTCCTGCCCTACGCCCTTCCTCCCTTCCTCCCACCCCAAACACATAGGGAACCCCTCACTGAGGCAGCGCAGGGACAACTGTGGACCACACACACACACAGTGCCTTGGGGTCTGGCGGGAGCGGGACTGTGGCCATGGCGGAGGAGTGGGCCATGGGACACGTGGCAGGGTGACCTGTGCTATAAATAAAGCAGGGAGGGGGGTGGGGCACTGTGGTGGGTCTGGGAGCCACCAAGAGGAGGTGCTGGCCGGACAAAGGCCAAGGCCAGGGGAGACGGTGGCGAGAGGGTCCAGGCAGCGCCAGGGAGACCCTGCTGGGTCCAGCGGGCCACGATTCTTAGCCCTCAGATGCAGCCACTGATTGTCAGTGATTCTTGTGCCCGCTGATGGCTCGGAGAGCTGAGATCCAGAGAGAATGGGCTCAGCCCCACCCGGGGCCCTACTGTCCCTTCATACTCCCGGCGCAGCACAGCACACGGCCCCAGAGACTGGCCTAGGGGTCTCTCAGCAGCAAACCGAGGTGCGGTTTGTCCAAGCCCACCAAACCCCGGGCCTCTGGAACCCCGTGGCCTGCCCCGCTCTATGCCTGGGGGCTCCAGGTGAGGGGGCGCTGCCCTGTGGGAAAGGGGCCATGGCCTTGGGTGCCCAGGCCCGGAGTGGCTGGGAAGGAGAGACGGCTACAAGGGGCTCATTGTGTCACTCCCGGGGCTACAATCTGGCAGGGGGACGTGGGGCCCTGAGGGCAGGTTCCCAGGAAATGAGCTGCCCGTCGCCTCCCCACTGGGTGGACAGAGACACGGGGCCGGGGGGACATGGCTTCAGGGCTGGAGCTCCAGAGCCCGTATGTGGCCCAGTCATAGGGAACACGGGCAGGACCCAAGGGCCCCCAAGTCCCAGCCTCCATGGGGGGTGCTTTGAGGAGCACCCCAGAGGGCAAGTATCCGGTCCTTCTCCAGAGGCTCTTTGCTCCTGTCTCTGGGGGTCCGTTTTGGTCCCAAGTCTTGCCACTGTGTGAGTGTGACTGTCTGCACACTTTCCCCAGGAGGCGGGATTCTACCCCAGAAGCTTGGGAAAACCCACCGTATTTTCTGGGTGGGGGGCATTGAGCCGATATGCCGCGGGAAGCCTGGGGCTGGGTGGGGAGCCTCCCGCTGTGGGGCCTATAGGAGGCGGGGGACACATCTGCTCCTACCACCAGCTTCCCTCCCCACGGGGGCCAGGCCATGGGCGGCCGCCCTGATCCTCTGTGTCCAGGGGCTCGCCCGTCCTGTCCCCGCACCTGCACTCCCTCACCTGGTCCCAGGAACTATCTCTCCTACCCTGTCTCTGATTGGTGGGGCCGAGGGGTCATTGGGGTCAGGTTTTGGGCCTCGTATAGGATACGACTGAACAATACACGCATTTATGTGGCCTTGTTGCTAAGACACGGTATCCCCGGGGCCACCGGCCTGCCTCAGGGCAGCTCCCAGAGGGACCGCAGTTACAGGGCTTCCTAGAGGGCTGACAAGCCAGGCCTGAGGGGGCCCGGGGATCCGTGGTCCTGGTATGGGGCCCATGCCCGGGTGCCCCCGACCCACCCCCCATCTTCGGATGGAACAGGGTGCTCGGGGACACGTGCACAGGCCGTCTGGAGGGCCAGGTCCCCAGACTGGAGGCAGTGGTGTCCCTCACCTTGCAGCAATTCAGGGTGAGCCGTGTGTTTGCCGTGTGTGGGCCCCAGGGTCGGCCTGGGTGAAGCTGTGCAGTAAGTGTGTGTCTCTGAGCCTGTCGAAGAGGTCGGGGTGCCTGCGTGCTGGTCCCGTTGGCTTGTGGGAGCCTGCGGGCACCATGCCCTGGGGCCTCCGCAGCCGGCACCACGGAGCCGGGCCAATGCTGCCCCCTGCCGGCCAGGCGGGCACGGGCCGCTCAGATGTGTGGTCTAGGGTGGGGCCTGCAACTTCCCTCCTGTTCCCAGGGACTGGGATGCCGCTGGTCCCCCCGCTGCCCCCGGTGTGGTTGAGCAGAGGCGCCCAGCACTGCGGACCCCGCCGTGTCCCAGAGGTCTGCACCCCAAATCACCGGATGGCCATTGTCAAACACAGCTCAGACTCACCTCATCCCAATCAGAATCCAACCCTATGTCCCTCTGTGTCCCCCTTTCTGAGGCCCTGCTACAGAGACCTCCAAGGAGACCAAGGTCCCCAGCTCCCCACAGATGGGTCTGGAAGCCCCCAAGGGCAACACACAGTAGGCATGTTCACATGCCCGGTGGCCCGGGCCCTGGGAGGGCTTGGACTGAGTGGGAGCACCTGGGAAGGCTGTTCCTGGCCGAGGAAGGTGAGCAGGGGTGGTGGGACCCCACGTATGGCTTCACCTGTGCGTGCCCCTCCCCGAGGGTCCCCTCCCCTCCCCTGCACGCACCTTGGGGGGCTGCTCTGAGTGCCCCTCGCACCCTGGGGTCAGAGGCAGGACAGCGTGGCTGCCTGACTTTGGACAGCCCTGCCTGCTCTCTAGGCACACTTGTCCTGGATGCCGGGGTCTCCGAGGCTTGTCTTCAGCACACGGTGGGCCCCAGGGTCTGAGCCTGCGGTGGGTGCTGTCTCCCGCTTTGACCCTTCCAATGGCCTCTGCTGCCATCCCAAGACCCCCAGCTGAGCCGTGCTGACAAGTTCCCGACACTCTGCCTCTCCTGCTCCCATCCCCCAGGTCAGGTCCCCCGCCGTGTCCCGGAGGAGCTGGCGGGACTGCTTGGGTGCAGCTCTGCAGGGACAGAGGTGTCCACAGAAGCCAAGGCTCTCTGGGCCAGGCCCCGGGCTCACGTTGGGGGTGGGGGGCAGGGGGGCGGCGAGAGGACAGACGCCACAGCCGGAGGCTCTCTGGGAAAATACTGAGGATATATTTGACAGGATGTGTTCACCATGACTCGCACAGAACCACCTCAGAGTCCCGTGTCTCATTCATCAGCACTAAAGGCGGTCTGAGCGCACGCAGCACCTTTGAGAAAGGGAATTTGGGCCCATTTGGTCTCTTTCAAAATATCAAAATAAAAACTTTTGACACACACATTGCACCCAAGGTAAAAAAGTGAAAACCAAACCAAACAAAACAAAACAATAAACCAATAGAAGGACGCAAACCACAAACCTCAGACATACCTAAGGACAGAAGGCGACCTCGCCCACCCTCCTGCGCCGTTGGAAGACAGGACATGCACGATGACCCCTGGATCATGTCAGTGCACGAGACGCCTCCAGGATCAGGCCACAGCGCCATACCCCGGCCCGCAGTGCCCCACTTGGCTGCTCTGACCACGGACCGCCACCCTGGGGCTGGGGCCAGCCAGCGGCCAGGGGAGCCAGTGAAGGACTCATCGGGGCCGCCGGTGTCCGTGGGCCTTCGTGCGCCTCCCCAGCTGGGCTCCCCGCCCAATGCTCCAGATGAAACGCACCAAGGAAGACTGAATTCACATTACGACACGAAATAGCACCAGAAATTCAGAGTAAAATTGCTGATACTTGCAGCGGAGAGCTCCTTGTGGGAGGAAGTCTCTAGGAAGGCATCAGCAAAGGCCGGGGGCTGGGGAGGGAGAGCGGGCGGCGGGAGCTGGTTGGTGAGCAGCTTTTCTCCGAGTTCCTAACGGGAACTCGATCCCCAGGGGTCAAGGTGCGCTAGAGACCGGCGTTTCCGTGAGCAGCACGGACATCGGCCATCGCCACTCAGCGGTCAGAGAAGCCTGGCGCACCCTGGGAACCTGGGGCCTCACGAACAGCTCTTCCAGGGGACAGCCCTGCCCCCGCATGTGGCTTCTAAGCCCTTCCAGCAACAGCAGCAAGACTAAGGGGAGCCTGCCGTGACCTGAGTGCAGGCGGCCTTGGCTCACTTCCCTGCCAGATGACATGGGGGGGGGCGTGCAAACCGTCGGGTGAGTCGTCTGTGGAGTTCTGCGCCTGGGCAACAGGGCGCACAGGGTGGGGGGCAGGGTCGGCTCTCTCTTTGAGTTCTTGGTACTGAGAAAAGAGCTACATGGTCTCCAAGGGGCTCACCCTCACCTTCCATCTAGAAAGGCACTGCTGTCCACCCAGGCCCCGCTCAGAGTATCACAGTCTCGGCCCTAACACTGGACGCCGAGTGCTTGTGCAAAGTCAGGCGGACCGCCACATGGCCCCCGTCGGACGCCCTCAGAGGACTGAGGCCCATCAGCACAGATAGGAGCCCCCAGTGCTGGGCTGTTCCGAGCCCTGCTCCCAGGTACTCACTCACGGCCATGAACTACTCGGGAGGGTCCTTCTTTAACGGGATCTTGAAGCTGGTCAGTCTCTGCCCGAAGAGCTGGCTGAGGAGGTCGTTCTGGGATGCGGCGGTCCGGCAGGCACGGCGGTCGGCCGGTTCAGCACCGTGGACAGCTCTGTCCCTCTTCGGGGGTCTGTGCAGGGGTCTCCCCTGGGGGCAGGCCTTGCCCTGTCCCTCCTTGCTGCGTCTGCAGTCCCCATGGGTGTGTCCGGGGCCCGCCTGCCGTTGCTCTGATGGCTGGGGTGGCATCGGGCTGCTCTGGTTACTGGGCCTGGCCTTGGTGGGGAGCACACGGCTGGGCGTCGCCTGTTTTCGGGGGGCCCGGGGGGGCTTGTCAGGGACCAAGTGGGCTCTCCCCAAGCTCCCCACACTCTCACTCCTGCTTGGCCCTGGGGCCCGGCCCTTCCTCTTCTTCTCGATGACCTCCCCATCCTCCTTGGTGCCCAGGTTCCCTCGGGAACCCTGGTCACCGGCTTCCCTTAGCCCCTTGGGAGAACTTTTGGCTCGAGGAGGGTGCTTGTCTGGGGCGGGGCTCTGGCTTGGGCAGTTGGGCTTGGCTGGGGTGGTGGCCGTCTCACTCTGGAGCTGCCCGCTGGCTGGCTGGGGCTGGCTGCCACCTGCCGTCTTGCTGCCGTGCCGTGGGCCTCCACTGCCCTGGGTGCTGGGGCTCGGCTTGGCTTTGAGGGTGGTAGGCTCAGTGCCATGGGTCAGCTCTGTGGGTGTCGGACTGGCCACGACCTTCTTCAGTTGTACCGGGAACCTGGGGGCTTTGCTGGGGGTGGGCACAGCCGACCTGTCCTTTGACGAACTCCGGCAACCCCAAGGCTTGACCGCACTGCCCTTGTGGGAGGGTCCCCCTGTACCTCCCTCCGGCACCGTGTGGCCTGTGGACACCTGCTTCTCCTTCTGGGGCAGGGACGGGGCTTCCAGGCAAAGGTCAGGGGTACTCGGGGTCCTGCGTTTCCCTGAGAATGGGCCAGTAGCCCTTTTTCCCTCTCCATCTTGGCCTCTGGCCCCGGGCCGGGGCACGGACCCCCCCAGCGGGAGAGCCTGCTGGAGAGAAGGCCCAGGGCTGCCTGGAGAAGCCTCACCTGCGGACCTCCCCGGGGCTCCGCCTGGCTTGCGGCCACCTTGGCCATCAGCGGAGGCCGCCGGGAAAGGAGACAGAGCCGGGGGCAGCGGCTCCTGGAGGTCAGAGGGCACGTCGCCCCCTGTGCCCGGGTGGCCCACGGGGTCTACAGGCCTCTCCGGGATCCCGGGCTGCCCCTTGGTAGTGCCAGGCGCGGCTTCTGGGCAGGGCTGGAGCAGGGCTGGGAGCGACCCCTCGCTCCGGAGCGGGCTGCAGCCCCAGGACATAGGCCCCCGGGCGCCGGGCCCCGCGGGGCTGTTGGGCGCGGCCACCCGGCGCCGCTTGCTGGGCAGCGCGCCCTCGCGGGCCGGCGCCTTGGGGCCGGGGGCGCCGGGCCTGCGCACGCGGCGGAAGGCGAAGGGCGGCTGCGCCCCGCCCCGGTGCTTGCGCATGTGCCGCTCGAACTGCTCCTTCCTGGCGAAGGTGTAGTTGCAGGCGCTGCACACGAGCGACCGCCGGCTGACGCGCGTGACGTGCGCACACAGCTCGCAGGCGTAGAGCGCCGTGTGCGGCAGCTCCAGCGGCCCCCGCGCGCCGTGCGCCCCGCCCAGGTGCGCGCGCAGCTGCTCGTGCTCGGGATACACGCGCGGGCAGCGCGGGCACAGGTAGACGCGCTGCGGGCTGTGCACCGCCAGGTGGCGCTGCAGCTTGAAGGGCTTCGGGAAGCGCTTGCCGCAATGGTGGCAGTCGCGCGAGGGGTCCTCGCAGGCCGGGGGCGCGCGGCCGGCCCGGGGCGGCGGGGAGCGGCCGGCGCGCGTCTGGGCAGAGCCGCGGGGAGGAGGGGGCTTCCCGCAGGCCGCGGGGCCGCTGCTGCCCGCCGAGGCCCCGTCCGGCGTCGGGGTGCGCTCCGGGCCGGGGCGGGCGGCCGCGGGTCTCGCGCTCTCCCTCGGCGACCCTCTCCCGGCCCCCGGCTGCGGCCCCGACGCCTCCCCGGGGCGCCCGTCGGCCGGGAAGCGCCCGCCCCCGCGGGGTCCGGACGTCTGCCCCGCGCCGCCACCCAGGACGCGTGCGCCCCGCCGGTCGGCGCCCCAATCCCCGAGGGGCCCCAGCGCCGGCCCCTTGCGGGCGAACCGCAGCGCGTGCTCCCGCAGGTGCTCGTTGTACATCCAGACGTCGGCGGCCGCGCGCCCGCACATGCCGCAGGCCCAGCGGCCCGGCCCGCTGTGCGCGTGCTTCTCCTGCAGGTGCGCCCGCAGCCGCTCGCGGGAGCCGAACCTGCGCGCCACGCACAGGTAGCAGGTGGGCGGCGGCGCGGGGCTGTGGGCCAGCTTGTGCAGGTCCAGCTCGCCCAGGCCGCGGAAGCGCTGGAAGCACACCTTGCACTTGTAGGACGCCCTCCCGGCCTTGGCTTGCCGGTTCCGGCCCGGCGCTCCCCCGGCCCCGGCGGCCCCCGGGCTCTGCGGCTCCTGGGGGCTCGCCGTGGCCGCGAAGTCTAAGGAGCCCGTGCTGAGGACACCCCCGGGGTCGTCCTGGGACGTCAGGAAGCACAGGTCCTGCTCGTCCAGCTTGGTGCGGAGCATCTCCAGGTCCACGGCGGCCCCGGGGGGCCCGCTGTCGTAGCGTTCTTGCTCCAGGTCGGGGGGCTCTGGGCTCAGGTCTCCTAGAGAAGAGGCCACCCCTTCAGCTGGGACCTGCAGGTCCAGGTCTCGCCAAGACGCGGGAACCATGTGCAGCTCGGGAATGTTCTCTGACCCCCAGTCCTCCGTGTGGCGGGGGGGCACGTCCTCCGCACAGTCCACCCCCGGGTTGGCCTCCAGGGCCCACAGGCTGGGGCTGGGGGCCCAGGGGTCAATGCCGGGCACCTTGCTGCTCAGGAAGCCCTCCAGCAGGAAGGACTCCGGCAGACTGGCGGCCTCCTCACCCCACGGGTCCTCGTGGGAGAGGCAGAGAGAGCCCGAGTCGCTGAGGTCCGTGGACAGGCCAGCCGAGCCCAGCTCCACGAGGCCCCCCACCTCGCTGAGGGGCTCCAGCGGGGGCGGGGACTTCGGCTTTTTATAGCGCTTCCCATAGACTCGGGGGTTCTTCTTCTCCATCAAGCGGTCGCCCAGAGGGAAGAGCTGCGAAAAGGAGGCTTCATCATCAAACATGCTCAGAGGGTCCCGGAGACCTGGGCTGGGGGCTCCTGGAGCAGCGCCCTCACGTGCCCGGACCCCGACCTGCACTTCTGGGTTGTGCAGGGGGCTCTGGGAGCAGCTGCTGCTGGCGCCTCCGGCAGATGCATGTGTCTCCTGAGGGCCCCGGGGGCTCGAGGAGGGCCCAGGCCCCTCCCTGACTCCTTGTCCTGACCCACTGTCCACTGCTCTGCAGTACCCTGCAGGTTCGGCCCCGGCTGCCCACGCTGGCTCTTTGTGGATGTCCGATGTTCTGGCCTCCCTGGGCCCCCAGCAGCCCCTGGCCAGGGCTGCCTTCTGTCCCCTGGGCCCGTCCCCAGGCGGCGCCCACCTCACCCCCTCCCCACGGGTCATCCAATCCTGGAGTGATCTCTGTGCGGGTGTCTCCTCCAGATCTGTGTCCACCGTGTTCTCCATCACCCCGGGCCAGCAGGTGTTGGCATCCGGCTCGGCCTGCACTGAGAGGTGGCCTCCCGGAGGCCCCGGGGGACTGGCAGTTGCTGTGGACAGACCCCGGCGGCTTCTGCCAGAAATCACACAGGGACTGACCGGAGGACCCCTCGCCTCCCGGAACCTCCTTGCTCTTGGCTTTCTCCCCTTTTCCTGCGACTTCCCCTCCACCTTGATGGGGACATCCACGGGCGCCCTGCCCCGCCGCTGGCTGCTTCCTTTGTCTCCCTGTTTGGGACAGCGCTTGTCCCTCACCAGCGGGGCCTGCTTCCTGGGCTCTGCCGGCCTCATGTCCTCTCGCGGCTTGCCCGGACCTGGGGGATGAGGTTCCCGGCTGGGGGAACAGCCCAGGGTGCCCCCCGCACTGAGTCCCCTGGCTGTCTGCGGGCCTGGCGCATCCTCAGGAGCCTCTGTACCCTGGTCAGGATGCAGCCCAGTGGCACGGCCAGGGCCATTCAGCACCTGGCTGGACTTCTCCTTCCCAGGTGCCCGGCGGCTTCTCTTTCTGGGGGGCTGGCATGCTGGGGGCTGGGGGCCGGGTGGGGCGGGGGGGCCCCTGTGCAGCCCATGCTTCCGGGCTCTGTGGCGGCTCAGGCCCGGCCTGGAGCGGAAGGAGGCTGCGCACACTTCACAGGTCACTGGCCGCCCGCTGGAGGCTCTGTCCTCCTGGGGGGCATTTTCTGTGGACACAGCCTTCTGTCTGGTGCCCTGTGGACTCTGGGGTGTGCAGTGAACAGTTCTGAGGCTCTGGGGAGAACTAGGTCTGGAGTCCTGGGCTGTGCTGCCGGGAGACGTGGTTCTGCCCCAGGGGATCTCCGGGGACTGGCAGGGGACGGCGAGGTTGCTGGTGTCAGCTCCAGGGGCCGTCGTGGCGCCAGAGCGGCCAGCCCCTGCCTTGCCTTCCTGGCAGGCACAGGACTCTGGCCCCGTGACCCCCCATGTGGAAGGGCTGGTGGGCACAGCAGTGACACCCTGGCCTTGCCTGTTGCCTGGAGGGGCTGGGGAGGCAGGGCCAGGGGGCCTCCCGCTGGGGCTGCGGTGGGGTGGGGCTCCCCAGCCGTGCAGGTCTGGATGGTCGACCCCAGGGCCTCTTTCTGCCCCTGTGCCATCTGCGGTGGGAACGTCAGTCCCAGCAGGGATGCTCGTGGTGACTCTTGGGGAGTTGGGCCTCACAGGGGGAGAACTGGTGACACAGGCAGGAGAGCTCTTTGGCTTCTCCTTTCTGGAACCTTCTAGAGGTCCTGACACGCTGCCTTCACGGTGGTCCTGCCCCCAGGCTGGAGTGGAGACACTGACACAGCCAGGCCGGCCCGAGGGAGGGTTCTGCAGGGCGCTGTGGTCCCCCAGGAGGGGGCGGTGGGCCGGGCTTTCCTTGAAGCCACAGGGGCTTGTCCCCGAAGATGGGGGGGTTGCCGCAGGTGGCCCAGGCCCAGCCCCAGCATCTGTGGCGGCCGGGCTGCAGTCAGCCCTTCGTGAAGGGGGCCCGGCAGGAGAAGGGCGTGGGAGGGGCTGCGGGCTGTCAGGATCCCCGCGGGCTGGAGGTGCTGGGAGCAGCCCCCCCAGCTCGCCTGAAGGTCCCCCGGGAGGGCCTTCCAGGGGCAGATGCTCCAGGCCGCAGGGGATGGGGGTGGCTGCAGAGGCGGGCAGGGGGACACAGGTGGTCGGCTCCCTGACGGGGCAAACGGGCTTGTCCCCAGTGAGCAGCAGCTGCTTCTCTAGGCCCGGGCTGGCCGCCTTCTCGGAGGTCCGGGCTTCAGGCCCATTTCGGACATGGGCCACTGCCAAGGCTGGAACCAAAGTTTCTGCATCACGAGAGGTAGGGCTTTGGGCGGCCCAGGCCTCTTTCCGAAGGCCTACGAACTGGCTGTTTCCCTGGAGCTGTCCCCCTAGCTGGTCTGCCTCCCTGGCCAGCCCGGCCAGGGCAGTCTCAGGACTGGCACTGACCGTGAAGAGGCTAGCCAGCCCCAGCAGACCCCCCCAGTTATCCGGCCGCTGTCTGCCCGCTTTGCCTCGGTCCTCGGGCTCCCCAGCCTTGCCGAGGGGGTCCAGGTGTCCATCAGCCTCAGGTTGCGGCTGACATCCGGCCGCTGCGGGGACGTCCTGGGGGGCGCTGCGGGCCATGTCCCCACCTTCCGCACTGACCCCTTCCAGAGACTCAGGGCTTGGGGTCCCAGCGGACGGGCACCCCTGTGAACCCAGGGCGTCCTCTTCACTCCCAGCTGCTCTGGCCACCAGGAGCTGCAGCTGACGGAGGGGGCTTGTGGCTGGGTCCCGGGGCCTCCCGCCAGGACCGGTGTTGGACGCGCAGGCGGGACTCGGGGAGGCCCCCACGGGAACAAACTCCTCATCACCCTTGAGGCCAGGGCCCCCCGCAGCAGAGTGGGGCGGGCCTGCTTGGCTCACAGAGCATTCTCCGGGCGCGTTGCTATGACTGGCGTCACAGGACGGGGCGGCCCCCTGAGAGGCCGAGCTGGGCGCCAGGTGGGCTAGTGGGCGGCCAGATGCCTCCAGCTCGGGGGGTTCTCGGCCGGGCCCTCCTGCCTGTGTGCAGGGAAGGGGCGGCAGGGCGTGGCTTGGGTTCATCCTGGCAGCCCCATTATTTTGGGGGAGTAAAGGCTCACGGCTTGGGCTGCACCTTGCTAAGTGTCTCACGTCCCGTGGAGGCTTGAACGGCTCTCCAGAGCTGGGGCAAGAGACATCTGCGTGGACCCCGCAGTCTCCTTTGGCCTCGGGGGGGCCTGTCTCCAAGACTCCGGCTCTCTGTACTGCTTGGGAGCTGTGGTCAGCCCCACTGAGGCTTTTGGGGGCCCCAGATGCCCCGTCGGCATGCACACAGGGGGAGAGGGCTGCTTCTCCTGGGTGGGGTGAGGGCCGCTCCTCCTGGGGCCTCCCCAGGCCCCCTTCCGTGGTGGCCACTGCTGTTTCTGCCCCTTCTGGGTGTGGAGTCAACACCCCAAGGCCGGTGAGGTCAGCCTCGGAGAAGGCGTCCCTGGGGGGCGAGGCGGCCTGGCGGGTGGGCAGAGGGGCCCCTGTGCCCACCTGCCCAGCTGCGCACGGCAGTTCTGGGGCCCCGGACACCCCTTTACTTTGCAGCTGAGTCTCTAACTCAGCGACCAGCCTTTTGATTTCCAGTTCATCTTCGGACAGGCTGCCCATAGAAGCGATGCCACACTCGCTGACCTTGCCAGGCAGAGGGGAAGGGCTGGCGGTCTCTGCCACTTCCCCGGGGCGTCTCCTACTGAAGGCCTTCTCCCCCAAGAGGTCGGGAAGGTGACTCATATGGCTGGCCAGCACTGGGGCCTCCTCCAGCAGGGACCAGCCCTTGTCGGGCAGAAGCAGGGAGTATGGCGGCTCTAACTGGGGTTTCCTTGGGGGAGGATCAGCGCACAGCGGCGGGGGGTGGGTGTCTCCACTTCCCTGCCGGCTGCGGTAGGTGGGCGGGTCAAGCCGGTCTGCAGGTAGCCCCGGGAAGAGCGGTGTGGACTCCAGGGTCAGCGGGGGTCCGGCTTTGTCGGGGCCCCTGTGGATCGCGTAGGGTGGACTCCTCGGTGGTTTTGGCTCAAGGGCACTGGCGTGTAAACCGTCCTGGGACCGGCATGCGCCACTGGCAGCTGGAGTGTCTGGTGCTAAGGGCTTGGAGTAGAGGCCTTTTTGGAGACAGCCAGGCAGGTCTTCGGGTCCGAGGAACAATTTGCTGGGGGGACTGCTGTAGGGCTGGGCCCCCTTTCTGGCAAGTGGAACCCCCACTGGGTCTCCATTAAGAAGAGCAGGGCCACAGCCAAGATCAGGGGTCTTCAAAAACAGGGCGCCAGATTCAAGGGCGGAGGTGTGGGCGGCGTGAGCGACGGGCGCCAGCAGCTCTCCTGATGGGTAGGGGTCCTCTCTGTCCTGGGAGGTGGGTGGCTCTGTGCACCGGGCAGCGCCTGGCAGACTCCCATGGGACAGCGGGGGGATCCCTCTGCCCGGCTCCGGGGCTGGGGACCGGGGGCTTCCCTCCCCACAGGAGGCTGGAGAAGAGCTTGGAGCCTCTCTGGGGAGTTCGGTGGCACTTGGCGGTCGCTCCTCAGCAGGTCTGGGGTTCTTGGTCTCCGGGGGGGAGTCCAGGGCTGGATGGTTCTCCTCTGGGGGCCCGGCACTGGCTGGGACCTGCAGGAGATGCTTGGGGCCTCTCTCCTCGGGGCCTGGGCAAGGGCTGCCTGGCTCCTCGTGGCTGGGGGAGGCCCTGACCTTTGTGGCTTCCTGCCTCCTGACCGTCCTGGCTTTCTGCGTCTCTCTGTCCTCTTCGGGGCCCGGGGCCACACCGGCTTCCTTCTGCTTCGTGCCTCGGTGCTGCTGGCCGCAGCCCTGGCGGGGCCGCCCTCGGAGGCAGGAGCCGTGCGGCCGTGAGCCGTCCTCCTCCTCAGACTCGGAGACACGGGTGAGCTCTCGGAGGCCCTGCTCAGTGCTGCTGGGCGCCCGCCTCGCCGGGGCCGGAGGGAAGCGCCCGCCTGGGCCACGCCGCCGTGACCGCCCCTGGGCCTTGTTCTTCTGCTGCACGATTTTGTGGATGAGCTCCTTGTTCCAGGTGCCGGCCCGGGGCTTCCTCCTCCTGGAGCCCTTCCCTGGGGACAGGCGGAGGCGTGACGAGCTCCTGGTCTCCACGGGGAGGGCCCGGCGGTTGGGATCGGCGGGGCTCCTGGGGGCCTGGGTCCTGAGGTCCCAGGGGCGGGGTGGGGGTGCCTCCGCCCCGTGGCCTTTCCTCCTCGGCCTCAGGCAAGTGGCTCTGGGGCCCTTCCGGCTATCGGTGGAGCTGGAGGTGTCCAGTCCTTTCTGGAACAACTTGAACTGCTTCCCTCTCCTCTGCTGGCTGGCCGGGCCAGCCCCACCTGCCGCTGTGGGCACGGGGCCCAGGGAGCGGGTTTTGGGCCGGCTGCGGGCCGGGCGGCCCCCATTCCCAGGGCGGGGGACCTGGGGCTCCGGAGGGGCGGCCTCGCCCAGGAGCGGGTGCTGGGCTTTGTTCTCTGGCACGGTCCCCATCTTGGTCTTGGGGGGCTGCCCAGCACCAGGCCCTCTGGGGCCAGAAGGCTCCTCGTCAGTGAAGACATCGATGAAGCTGCTGTCGATCTCGGGGTTGTCTGACTGGTACCCCAGACCGTTGAGCGCCTCGGTGATGAGGCTGTCCAACTTGGCGTCGTCCTCAGGGTCTAGGTCTGTGGCAGGGAGGGGAAAGGGGGCAGTGGCCAGGCCGGGCAGGAAGCTGGTCCTCAGGGGGTCCTCTTTGCCGTCAGCCCGGAGGTCCCCACTGAGCAGGAAGGGGACCGTCTTGGTGTGGCTGAGCAGGCTCAGGTTCCCACTGGCTGGCGCTTTGGGGGCGGTGGGGGGGCCAGGGGGGCCCGGGGGCTGCGGGGGGCCATCCTTGGCCCTGGCCAGCAGTGCGCGGCAGAACTGCCGGTGCCCCAGGAAGGCGGCCAGGCTGCTGTAGTTCTGGTCACACTGCCTGCAGGTGAGCAATACGTCCAGCTGGTCCAGGCTCGCACTGCTCAGGGGGAAGTGGTGGGCCGGGTAGGGGGGTGGCTCCCGGGGGAAGCCCTCCAGCCTGGCCTCGGGGCCTGAGCCTGAGAATGGGGCCTCCTCTAGGCATTTGAAAGGGCCCTCGGGCCCCAGCCCCTCCGCTGGGAAAGGGAAGTCTCCGACGGGCTCCGGCTGGTAGTGCATGGGCGCGGCGTGTGGGGGCTCAGGGGACGGGTAGGGGCTGCTGGTCTCCGAGGGGCGAGCAGGGGCGTGGAAGAAGGTGGGGGGCCCGAGTGGGCCGGACACCTGGCTCTCCTCCGAGCTGGGGTTGGCTGGGCTGCTGGACAGCGGGGACAGCGAGGAGCAGGAGCTGCTGCTGGCCGTGTTGGTGGCTGGTGAGGGCAGCGGGGACCCGCAGGGAGAGGCACCCACAACTCGGGGAGGGGGCAGGCTGGGGGTTGCCCGGGGTGAGACTTGGGACTGGGCCACCCCAAAGAACAGGGGCTGGGCTCCGGAGTCCTTCAGCCCATTATAGGCAAACAGGCCAGGGGAGCTGCCCCCGTGCTGACCTGGGCTGTTTCCCAGGACTGCCAGCTTCTCCCCAGGCCCGGTGGTCTTGCCAGCAGCACCCAGGGCTCTCTGGCTGCCGCCCTGCCACTCGGGGGCCCCTGCGGGGAAAGGCAGCTGGCTCAGCACCTCCATGCGCTGGGGGCCAGGCCCGGTGGCTGGGAGCACCTGGGGCCAGGGCAGTGGGGGGCTCCGGGGGAGGCCAAGGCGCTGGCCTAAGTTGGCCTGGCCTTCAAAGAAGGCATTCCCGGCAGGGGCTGGGGGGCCCAGGGGAGGTGTGGGGTAAGGGGCTGCGGCAGGGTCCCACAGCGGGGGCAGTCTGGTGGGCAGGGGCCCTGGGGCGGCCAGCTCTGTGTCTAGAGGCCCCGGGCTGGTCCCCACTCCGCTGGCCCCGGGCCTTCCATAGGGCTGTCCAGGAAAGTGCCTCTGGGACAGAGAGTTTGGGGGCCCCCTGGGGCTCCCCAGCCTGTCGTCCTGGGCCAAAAGCAGTCTCTCAGGCAGGGCTTTGGTCAGGCTCTTGTGCAAACTGTCCGGAAAGGCGGCCATGCTCTCCGAGAAAGGGCTGGGGGCTGGGGCAGCAGCACCAGGTTGTGGGGGAGCACAGCCGAGGTCACTGGGGGCGTCAAGGCTGGGCCGGCCCGGGTAGCAGGGTGGGGGCTGGGGAGTGGGCTGGGTGGGCAGGGGGTAGGCGGTGCCTGTGCCCACCGCGTCTTCTGGCCATGCTCCCCTGGGCTGGCAGAAGGCAAACACCAGCGCTCTTTCCCCATACGTGGGCGGGGACCTGTCCTCGGGGAAGGGTTTCGGGCCGGGCCCGTGCAGTGCCTGGAGGGGGTACGGGAAGGAGGCCACCCCGGGGCCATCCCCTTTGGGAAAAGGCTCTGGCTTGGCAGCAGGGACCCCAAGTCTAGCACCTGGGAAGCCGTTCCCAACAACAGGAGGCCAGCTGTCAGCACCCCCGGCCTGGAGTTCCAAGTAGGAGGCCGGCTGGCAGGGACTGGCGCTGCTGCCCGGGGGGAGCCTGAGGGGCAGGGGCCCAGAGGTGGCCTTCTGTGAGGTATGGTTGCTGGAGGTAAAGCTGGAGGGGGTCTCCTGGAAGCACCTTTGGAAACTGAGCTCTTTTGGGGTCAGTGGGGCCTTTGCCTCTGGGGGCCCGGGGTCCTCGCCCTGTGGGCCCTCAGGAGTCTTGTCCAGAGTGTGTATGGCCCTGGGGCCAGCGATGCTCCGATTGTACAGCTGCTGGGGGCTGCCGTCAGCCCTGCTGGACTGCTGCGTGAGAGCCTGCGCCGGGCTCCTCCCGGGGGTGCCCTGCGGGCTGCCCCCACTCCCTGCGAGGCTGCTCAGGGACTCGGCTCTCAGGAGGGGCGCCTTGGGCTCCTCCTCCCTGGCCTGCCACAGCTGGGACTCTGGAGGCTCCCCCACCCAGGCTCTGCTGCCCGTGGCCTTGGTGGTCCTGCTGGCTGGGGTGCCATCCTCGCTGGGGGGCTGGGAGGGCCCCCCTGGGCCACCAGCTGTTTGGCAGGGCTGCGGGTCTCGGGTCATGGCTGGGGGCGGTGCTCGGCGGGGCTGCTCCCCGGGCATGGCCCCTCCGTCTGGGCGCTGGGAGGACGTGGTGGTCCAAGGGGGCCCCTGGGGAAGCCTGTTCTCATGGTCCTGAATGGAGCCTGCAAGGAAAGCACAGGGTGAGTCGGGGGGCCGCAGGGGAGCCCCTGTGCTCAGGAGAGGCTTCCTTTTGGGAGGGAGACGAGCCCTGGCCGCCCTCAACCCAGCCTTGCCAGGTGCTAGCTGGGCCACGAGTGGAAGGACCCCTGTGCCATGCAAACTCCCAGACTGGACCCCGTGGCAGGGCGATGGGCACCTAGGTGTCATTGGCCTGGCCTGAGATAAAACCAGGGGCGAGCAGGGGACCGCCCAGGGAGGAGGACGGGGCCGCCTCCACATGCCTGGAGCTGTGGGAAGGGAGGAGGTGAGTCTGTCCCTGGCGTGGCTGGCCCTGCCCAGGGCGGGCCTGCGTGTGGATTTTTAGGCAGTGCCAGGCTCGGGGGCACTCCCTCCCTGTGCGTGGACACCTGCCCAGGGGCCGCCCCACTGAGGAGGGGCATTGTGTCTGACTGGGGTACAAGAACCCCTCGCTCTCCTGGGAGGGTGCCACGCCCACTCCCAGGGGTCCCCCCCACAACCCATCACCCTCCTAAGTGGCAGCCTTACCCCCCCAACCTGGCAGGCTGCCTGGGGCCCGTCCTCCACTCTCCTTTCTCTCTTGGGACCAGGAGACCTTAGAGCAAAGTCTCATGGGGGATGTTTGTCAAATGAATACGTGATGGTAACAGCAGCATTGAGCTCCTTCCGAGCTCCGCTGTGGGCCGGGGCACTGGGCACTTCCCGTCAGTTCCTCCTGCTTTCGCACTGGCTCGGGAGGCTGGAACTGTTAGGCCCAGCCCTGGCTGATGGGCAAGGAGCGGAGATAGGGGCCTCACAGTTGGTGGCAGGCACTGGGTCCCTGGGATCCCCATGTGACCCGGTGGTGATGCACAGGGTCCACAGGAGCTCAGGGCCAGGACCCCTGCAGAGCCCCCTGTGCTCCAGGGCAACGTGGTCTGGGGAGGGGGGGGCAGGGCCCTCCTGGACATTTCCATCTCAGCCTCTGACCCACCTTGTGACGGGGGGGGCAAGGCCCTCGGCGTCCCTGCCCCTGGGACGTGGGGGTCTCGGTGGAGCCCCCGGCTGGTGCAGAAGGCATTGGTGCTGTGCCCCACGGGCAGGACGGGCCCCTCAAAGACTGTGTGCTGTTCGCGTGGTTTGCTGACTAGTTATGTTTCTGTGGAGCCCAGGCCCTGGGGACAGGGAGCCGGCGACTCAGCCCTGCCGGGGTCTGGGGTCTGACACACGGAGGCTCTCACGGCTGGGGAAAGCTCAGCTCTCACAACCTTGACCTTGTAGGGATGGTTCACGGCGACTCCCCCTCGGGGTGGCCCTAAGGTTCAATGGTCACATAAGCTAGCTTGGTGCCTGGTACACCGGTGGGGGGGGGCGGCACTCCCCAGGGAGGGCTGGCTGTTCCCCGAGCCTCAGTGCCCCTCTGTGCCTTCCCAGGACACAGGACCTTTCTACATATCCCCAAGCCGCTCTATACCTGCCTGTGTCCCGAGGGTCCTCTCTGTCCCAGGCTCCAAGCCTGGCCATCCCCAAGAGCAACCCACTGCCACCTCCTCTGAGGAGCCTGCCCCGATGCCCAGCAGCCTGGCCGCCACGTGTGACCTCAGCCCCCGCAAAGGCAGCGGGATGGAGTCTGTGCTCGGCCCGAGTCCTCGCTGCTCACATCTAGTGGCCACATCGAGCTACATGGCCAAGCCTGCTGGCAAAGGGACAGGCTGGGATAGGCTGGGGGATGGCAGCATCTCGGGTGGTGATTCCCCCTGCCTCCCTGGAGCCCCAGAGGGAGGGGCCCTGAGAGCACAGCGAAGTCCGGGGGAACGTCTCTCGGGGAGGCAGCTGGAAGCCCCCATGGCTGGAGGTGGAGGGGGCCGGCCAGGTGCGGTGGGGAGGGATTCGGGCTGGGGACAAGGACATCTCTGGCCCGAGAGGTGGCCTGACCCTGTTCCGGTGTCCTCGGCTACGTACCTGGGGAGTCAGCCCGTCAACCGGGTCGCTGTGCGGGTCCGTTTCCTGAGGAATGAGGGTTTCCCGGCTGCCGAGAGAATGGAAAGGACGTCAGGACCCAAATGGTGTGTGGCTGAGGTGGCGTGCCCCCTCCCCACTGGAGGAGCCAGCCTCCACCCGGCGCCCTGCAGAGCCAGTGGGGCTGCCATGGGGGCCGCAGGGAGATGGGTGAGCTCCAGAGGCTTGTCCCTGGGGCCCCTGCCGGGCTGGGGGTCGGCCTCCTGCTTCCCCCCGGGTTTGATGATTATTTTACACTTCCTTCTGCTAGGAAGTGTGTGCACAGAGGACACATTCATGCGCTTCCCAAACCCGGGACAACGCTCTGAGGTCTTCAGAGAGAAGCCTCGTGCCAAGCCCGGCCCCATGGGCCCTCTGCCCCAGCCCTGCTGGGCGAGCACCGGAGGCGGATTCCTGTGTTTCCTTCCAGAGTCTACCAATGCAAATACCAGCCAATACGGAGAGAGGCTGTCAAAGCGCGGGGATGACGGCTCTGAAAGTCGCCAGAAGTCCCTTCATTTCTCCTCCCTCCCAGCGCTGGAGCCCGATCCCCTCCCCTTCAAGGTGGGCTGCGCACGGAGATCGGAGATCGGCTGACGCACCGGGGCTGGGGAAGGGAGGGGGACCTGTAGAAATCAGCTCCTACGAGGAAGTAGCATTCCGCCCTGCTCGCCATCAGTCGCCCACCCGGGGGCCACTGGCTGCCAAGTTGTGGAACGCTCAGCAGCCCCGCGGGCAGGCCACGTGCGAGGCCCCGAAGCCCCACCCACAGCCACGTGAGCACCCACTGGGAAGCGGCGCCTCCAGCCCCGGTTGGGCCTCCAGACCAGCCGGCGGCCCGTGCCGACCTTCCAGCACGACCTTGGGGAGCCCCTGAGCCCTCCCCGTGGAGCCGCTCCTGGACTCCTGACCTGGAAACTGCGAGACACCGATGGCGGCTGCTTTAGTAGCTGCTTCCCCCCCGCAGCAGACACTGCTTCTTCTGGCCGACGGGTCTGGGATGCCTCCTGAGGTCCCCAGCTGCGGTCTGAGTCCCGCGCCAGAGCAGGAAGGGCGCCCCTTCCCCGCAGCTGGCAGGTGGGCTGACCCCGTGCGGAGCTGTCCCTACCCTCGCCCGTCCGATCGAGCAGATGTCTTTACGTTTGTGCGAGGCGTGTGCAAGGCCGTTCTCGGCTCTGCCTCACGGGGTCTGCTGGGAGGTCAGCACGACAGAAGGAGGTGTGACCTGTCCGTCGCACAGCACGCGGCGAGGCAAAGGGACGAGAAGGCGGCCTGCGACTGTGCTCCCGTGCCGGACACAGCGGCTCCGCACCGTGGGCCCTGCCCCAGGGACCCCTTCCCCTCCCGGGGGTGCCAAGCCTGTGGGCAGAGCTCAGCCACACCATCACCCTTTCGGCCCGCGGCTCCTATAGGGGCCGGACGGACCGTGTCCGGGGCCTGGACACTAGAGCAGGCTCGGGGCAACAGGTGTGCCCAGGGTCTTGGGTTCCCACCCCCGCCCAGGCTCTTGGCAAGGCCCCTCGCTGTGCCTGGGTGTGGGTTTCAGCGGGCCTGGGGCTCCTTTGAAGTCAATGCAATCCCTCCGATCCCAGGCCGCCCCAAGGAACCCCCGGGAGCGCAGGCACCTCCTTTTCTTGCAGAAACACTACCCAGCCCCCTCGTCCGGGGTAACCCGAGACTGTGAACGTGCAGCTGGCTCTGGCTGGGGTGTGCTGCGGTGGCTCCCGGCAGTCCTGCTGTAGGGTTGGACCTGGCCCTCCCGGGGCCTCCCTGTGACCCCCTGACCCCCTGCATGGCGTCTGGCCTCTGTTCCGGCTCCTCCCCTGCCCCCAATCTGCCCTATGTCGCCGTGCCCTCTCTCTGCTCTCCTGTCCCTTCGCTCCCCGGCTGCTCCGGAGACCCCCGCCGCACCTAGGATGCCTCACCTGCTTCTCTCCCGCCTTCCCGATTCCCACACACCTGCAACGGGTCAACCGGGCCAGCCCGGGCCTCTCTGGGACCGTCAGAGTCCTGACCTCAGGGGGTTCCTGACGCCCCATGAGTCGTGCAAAAACCAGCATGCGGTGACCCCTGTGGAGGGGGCGCTTCCTGGGTCCTCTCTGTCTGCCTCTTCCGAGAAGCCCTCCAGCTTGCATGTGTACCTCCAGGGCGATACTGGTCAGGTGGTCACTGAGGGTGGCCCCGCGGTCATGGCAGACCGTGCTCCCACGTCCTGGGCTGGCCTGTGCAGTCAGAGCCTGGAGCCCCGGCCTGTCTCCCGGCTGTGGGGCTGTGCCCGAGCATGAGACCCTCCCCGCTCAGGAACCCCTCAGCCCCCCAGCCCAGCCCCCTACCCGAGGCACCTGCCCGGGTCCGGACCAGCCAGGGGTCAGGGGGTCAGGCGGGCCGGGATGAGCCACACGAGGCCGCCCACCCGGGTTCAAGTGCTGTGTGCCCTGCTTCCCGCTTCAGCCCTCCCTGCCGTGCCCCCGTGGCCCCAGAGAACCCACCACAGAACCTGGCCCCACGGTGGGCTGCTCTCCTCACGCCGCCCTGCCGGGCCCGCTCTAGAACTACAGACGGGATGCTGGGGCACGTGAGGGCCTCTCTCCCAGCTGGGGCAGCCAAGGGAGGCAGAAGCCGGCGCAGACGTGGAGGAGGGGTGGGCGGAGCACGCGGGGTGTTAGGGTAGGAGGCAGGGCCAGTGAGGGCGTGCAGGGCCCGACAGGTGGGGAAGGGCCTCTCAGCACTGCGGCCGGGTCAGGGCCTCCTGGCTGGGAGGTGCCCTGAGCCCTGGCTCCCTGTCCTGCCTCTGGCAGCCTGCCCCCACCTCCGGCCCTGCTGCTGGCCTCCCTGGCGTGCACCCCTCCTGGCCTCCCCCCGGGGGCAGGGGAGCGTGCAGGGGGGCCTGGTGCCAGCCCTGCAGGGCGGGGCCAGCGGCTCCA